TTACTTGCTCTCATCCAGTCACATGTTAAATCGTTGGAACACTGTGATTTCCTCCTCCATCCACCATGTCAACCCCGTGAAAGTGTGGCTCATAGTTCACACTCAAAACCCCCATGCACCTCATGTGATCAAATCATATGTGTATCATCCATGCTCCCTAACATGGATCAAAATCAATGCGCCAAAAACCAATCACACATCCGCTTTACAATCGTCGCACTCCATGCTCCTCTACACACTCTCTCCTAAAGTATTCACTTTCTCTATCGATCCACTCCATTTCAAATGGAACCACACGAAATCTCCATGAATTTGGTGCGTTGATCCGGTGGTTGCTCGTGTTGGAAATAACATCGTTGTTGCTGGTGGCGCATGTGACTTTGAGGATGATCCTTTAGAAGTTGAAATGTATAATATAGATTCTAACGATTAGATCCAATGTGAGTCCATGACTGAGATGATGAAGGACACCACAATGTCAACATGGCTCTCAGCTACTGTCTCCGATGAGGTTATGTACGTGACGAAGAAAAAATACGGTATGATGTATTCCTTCGATTGCAAAATGATAAAGTGGGAAGCACCATACGATCTTAGAAGGGAGGAGAGTGTGTTCTTCAGTATTATGGGAATGATGCGGAATCGATTGGTTATGGTGGGAATAGTAGGCGATGCAGAGAACAAGAAAGGAGTGAAGATATGGGAAGTGCGAAAGGAATTAAGGTTTGAGATGATGGAATTATGTGTGATGCCGAAATAGATGGTGGTGAAACTAAGAGGTGAGAGTGGGATTGATTTTTTGAATTCGATTTAGTTGGTTTGTATTGGTGATTTTATTTATGTTTATAATCCGTTGGAACTGGAGGAGATGGTGGTGTGTGAGGTGTTGAAGGGAGGGGGGTGTGAGTGGCAGAGTGTGAGGAATAAGGTGGTGGACGACGGTGTACGGATGGGAAGAGTGGTGTTGTGTGGTGGTGATGTGGGGTTGGAGGATTTGAAGAACGCAGTTTTGAGGAAGTGTAGATTTGAATTGAAACATGTGTAACCAAAAATGAAAGTGATTAATTTTTTACCATGTGTTTGGATTTTACTTAAACAATGAAATTATTGAAGAAAACAACATTTCAATTCAATAAAATGTAAAAATAATGAAAGAGTTTGTTAAATTTTTTGAGTTGATAAAGTTTTTCAACACATCCAAACATTTATTAAGTTACGTTCGCTATTTCACACATTATTATTATTATGTTTGAGAGTTGGAGACTATTATGGATAAGAATTTAATAGAGGAAGAGACATGGTGGACAATATGGATAAGTTGGTTGATTTGTTCGACAAAAATAGATCTTTTTGTTGTGGATTATACGTGCCTCATTAATTAATAGGAGTCTCGACCTATTAATTCACTTGGTCTTTGTCTGTCATCTTTATAAAAAACTAGTGGAAACTCGTGCTATTGTACGGGTCCCGTATAGTTTTCATATCGCATGATCTAAAATTGATTTGCAAAGTTCTATCTTTCGTCAAAATTAAACTAGTAAAAAACAATCAAAATGCAATCAATTTTGAACAAAATAGTATATTAAACAACAAAATTTACATGACTTGCACTAATAATACATAAATTTGTCAGCATTATAAGTCCAAATGTAAACTTCTCAATATTATAAATTCCATACTTGAACTAGTCAATGAATGAACCAACCAACAACAACGAATCGTATCATACATCTACATGGGAAAATATATCAAATTAGATATTAAATATTATGCATTTTTTGAAAAATAATATAAATATGTGGTATTTAAACACATAAATTAAACATTGGGATTTAATTTGTATCCCAAAGAAATAGGTGAAAAAGATTACCAACTAACAAAGTGCTTGGAAGACTTCCGCCGTCACTTCCGCCGTCCTCTTTCGATTGACACAATAGTCACCACTCTAACCCTCCATCAGCTCGGGTCCATGGTACCTTCCTCTTTCAATTTTTGGATCTTGAAGCATGAATATATTTGCTTACTTATGATGAATACGGAGGATTTTTTATGTGTTTTGTGTTGAGAAAGAGAATGAACAGAGAGATATACGCAAAGAGAAATAAGAGAATAGGGGTATTCGTTCCTTTCTCTCCCTATTATTGTGGTGTTAATTTTTAATTTATTTTCCTATTAGTAAGAAACTCGTGCTATCACACGGGTCCCGTCTGAATTCACATCACATGTATCTAATTTTAATTTGTAGAGTTATTTCATTATATATATATATATATATATATATATATATATATATATATATATATATATATATATATATATATATATATATATATATATATATATATATATATATATATATATATATATATATATATATATATATATATATATATATATATATATATATATATATATATATATATATATATATATATATATATATATATATATATATATATATATATATATATATATATATATATATATATATATATATATATATATATATATATATATATATATATATATATATATATATATATATATATATATCCGTGAATCCAAATGAATTAACAAATCTCAGTTGAATCCCGATGATCTAGTTTTAAAACTACGAATAAAATTATTTTTCCAATTCAAATAACATTACTTTTTAAATATTAGTCAATTTTTTTAAACCTAAAATTTATGACAGCTTCCCGTCAAATATTAGTTTTAAATCCGTTTTATTTATAGACTCTAAGAACAACTTTGATTTCAAAAATTCTTTTCATAATTTCAACAGAATATGTGTCACAATACAAATTCAACTAAACCAAGAAAAACTTAATACAGTCAAATATCATATAGAAATGTTTGTGGATATGATATGATTTTCAATTTTTGTAAAAATATATCAATAATATTGAAAATTATATAGATTTTTCTTAAAACACTTTCTGAATGCTATTTAAAATTATATCATTAATATATAGTTTATTTCCATTAAATTGAATTTTAATGGGTCAATTAATCGTTTAAAAATAATTTAAGTGAAATTAATCTTTGATAAAGTTTCCATACGTATAATGATTTCTTTTATCAATATTGAAAAATTTTATAATCAAACAACATTATAATATTTATTTTATTAATAATATTAATGATTAATAATGATTAGATAAATTACACAAAAAAGACATATTTTAAAAACAAATATTTGTAATAGTTGTTTAGTCTAAATGCTAATATCTTTATATAAAATATTATACAAAGTGAATTTTAAATAATATTTTAGTTTAATGAAATTTGTAAAATTAATAACGGTTTGAATCACAAATTGTAATTATTTGAAAAACATCTACATTATCATCAATTTATTGGTAATGTATTGAAAATCTTATTAACTATGTTAATTGCTTATTTATAATATTAGTTAATTAATTTTTTATTATATTATTAGTTTCGTTATTGAGGATAACTTTGGAGTATTTTATTATTTTCGTTATATTAGACGTGTCTTGCTCTGATATGTAACATTAGATTTGAAACGTCATGTTTTGCAAATGTTATGTTCTTTTTTATGTTAGCATACCTTATGACGGTTTTGGTGGTTAAACTGATTTTATTTATTGATGAGACCAATGTGTGAGTTTTGAGAAGTTAATTATGATATTATGACGATGAATTATATTGTGATGTTTTAAAATGATGTGTAGAATTATAATTAGATGCATGTTTTAAATTGATGTAACCCGTGTTACAGAGAAGGATTGTAACATTGTAGTTTTTTATGAAGTGTGACACTATTGCTTGGTGATTTTACTTGATTTAATTTATAAATTATATGAGAAATACATATGGGGTTAGAAGGGTCTTACATGTAACTTCATTGTCTCAATTTATGGTTATGTTTGGATATTGTAAAATGAACAAAGCAGAATGAAATGGAGCGTAATGTAGCGGAACAGAGTGGAGCAGAATGAAATAAAGATGTCATTCTATTCCTTGGATATTTCATGACGAAATAAATGGATTTTTTCATTCTGCCCAAATTTGAAGGATATAAGAAATAATGGAAAGTGATAGAATTGGACAGAATACATTACATATGGTTCTGCTCCATTCCATTTTTTTAATCAATCCAAACAATGAAACTTAAGTTTATATCATTTTGTTTTATCTGATTCCGTTTATCCCATCAATCCAAACATATCCTAAGAGTTATTTTTCAAATTTTACATACTTTTTTTAATAAAAATAATAAATTTTATTGAATATCTAAATAATTTTTATCTTAAAATAATTCACTATAATATTAAAGGTGATAAAAAAACATTAATTAAATTTATCTCTAAGTTTGTAGGCAGCAATAATTAATGGTACATGTGTCATTCTATGCATAAACTAAACTTTCATTTTCAGCATGACCCGTCCTTCCTATTGGTCGAATCCTTTTTCCAACCTCTTATATAAATTCCTTAAGATCCATCCATTCCTACTCACTTCTCATTCTCCACTTTAAAATTATGTTCTACTTCTCCTGAAAATAAAAGCAGTGTAAAAAAGAAAGACACAACACTCACACAATTACAAACTTCAAAATATTGTCAAAGAAAATTGAAGAAAAAGAAGTAGAAGCTCTCATCCATGGAGACATCTTAGAATCCATACTCTCTCATGTGCCTCTCATTTACTTGTTCCCATCCAGTCACATGTTAGATCATTGGAACACCGTGGTTTCCTCCTCCATCCACCATGTCAACCCCGTGAAAGCGTGGCTCATAGTTCACACTCAAAATGCCCATGCACCTCATATGATCAAATCATATGCGTATCATTCATGCTCCCTAACATGGATCAAAATCAACGCGCCAAAAACCAATCACACATCCGCTTTACGATCATCGCATTCCACACTCCTCTACACGCTCTCTCCTAAAGTATTCACTTTCTCTATTGATCCACTCCATTCCAAATGGAACCACGCGAAATCTACATGAATTTGGCGCGTTGATCCGATGGTTGCTCGTGTTGGAAATAACATCGTTGTTGCTGGTGGCGCATGTCACTTTGAGGATGATCCTTTAGCAGTTGAAATGTAAAATATAGATTCTCATGATTGGATCCGATGTGAGTCCATGCCTGAGATGATGAAGGACACCACAATGTCGACCTGACTCTCTACTACTGTCTCCAGTGAGATTAAGTACAAGACGAAGAAAAACTCTTGTACGATGTATTCCTTCGATTGCAAAATGATGAACTGGGAAGCACCATACGATCTTCGAAGGGAGGAGAGTGTGTTCTTCAGCGTTACGGGAATGATGCGGGATCGGTTGGTTGTGGTGGGAATAGTAGGAGATGCAGTGAACGTGAAAGCAGTGAGCATATGGGAAGTGAGAAAGGAATTAGGGTTTGAGATGGTGGAATTGTGTGTGATGCCGAAAGAGATGGTGGAGAAACTAAGAGGTGATAGTGGGGTGGGTCGTTGAATTCGAATGAGTTGGTTTGTATTGGTGATTTTATTTATGTTTATAATCCGTCGGAATCGGAAAAGATGATGGTGTGTGAGGTGTTGAAGGGAGGGGATGTGAGTGGCGGAGTGTGAGGAATAAAGTGGTGGACGATGGTGTATGGATGGGAAGAGTGGTGTTGTGTGGTGATGATGTGGGGTTTGGGGATTTGAATAACGCGCTTTTGAGGAAGTGTAAATTTGAATTGAAACATGTGTAACCAAAAATGAAAGTGATTATTTTTTTACCATGTGTTTGAATTTTACTTAAACAATGAAATTATGAAAGAAAACAACATTTAAATTCAATAAAATATAAAAATAATGAAATAATTAGTTGAAGTTTTTGAGTTGATAAAGTTTTTCAACACATTCAAACATGTATTAAGTCACGTTCTCTATTTCACACATTATTATTATTATGTTCGAGAGCTGGAAACTATTATGGATAAGAATTTAATAGAGGAAGAGATGTGGTGGGGAATATGGATAAGTTGGTTGATCTTATCGACAAAAATAGATCTTTTTGTTGCGGGTTATACGTGCCTTGTTAATGAAGACGACTCTTGGCATCTTAATTCACTTGAGTCTTTGTCTATCATCTTTATAAAAAACTAGTGAGAAACTCGTGTTACCGCACGAGTCCCGTATGGTTTTCATATCGTATTATCTAATATTGATTTGCAATGTTCTATATTGTGTCAAAATTAAACGAATAAAAAACAATCAAAATGCAATTAATTTTGAACAAAATAGTATATTAAACAACAAAATTTACATGACTTATACTAATAATGCATAACCTTTCAGCATTATAAGTCCAAATGTAAACTTCTCAATACTATAATTTCCATAGTTGAACTTGTCCATGAATGAACCAACCAACAACAACGAATCGTATCATACATCTGCATGGGAAAATATATCGAATTAGATATTAAGTATTATGCATTTTTTTAAACTAATGTAAATATGGGGTATTTAATCACATAAATTAAATATTGGGATTTAATTTGTATCACAAAGGAATAGGTAAAAAAGATTACCAACTAACAAAGTGCTTGTAAGACTTCCTCCGTCACTTGCACCGTCCTCTTTCGATTAACACAATAGTCGCTACTCCAACCCTCCATCGAGTTTAGATATTATTCAGTTTTTTTAAACCTAAAATTTATGACAGCTTCCCATCAAATATCAGTTTTAAATCCGTCTTATTTATAGACTCTAAGAACAACCTTGATTACAGAAATTCTTCCTATAATTTCAACAGAATATCTGTCATAATACAAATTCAACTAAACCAAGAAAAACCTAATACAATTAAATATCATATAGAAATATTTATGGATATGATATGATTTTCAATTTTTGTAAACATATATCAATAAAATTGAAAATTATATTGTTTTTTCTTAAAACACTTTTTGAATGCTATTTAAAATTATATCAATATTATATAGTTTATTTCCATTAAATTGAATTTTAATGGGTCAATTAACCGCTTGAAAATAATTTAAGTGAAATTAATCTTTGATAAAGTTATCATACGTATAATGATTTCTGATCTGACCTGATCAGAAATGGACCGTCACGGCTGGCTCCGAGCAGAAAGCTTTTTTGAATGAGGTGGGGGGGGGTACCTGCAAGGCACTCTGATGCTGAAGTAAGTAGGAGTACGAGCAGATAATAGCAAGTGTAAGGTTAGAATGATGAATACCTGACCCTCTGGAAGCAGAGGGTATTTATAGCCCCCAGCGCTGGGCCAAGGTTCCTTCATTGGGTCGGGCAGGTTTGGCCCAATGGAGGAACTGCCAGGTTCTACGTGTGTAGTGGGGACCCGCATGTGGTCCCCTTCCTGGATGTTCTGCGTGAAGTGCGGGCGGACGGAGACGCGGTCTTTTCGGAGTATCGTTGGGGGAAGAGTGGACTGAGTCTGCCCTAGCAGGATTGCTCAAGGTAATGTCGAGCAGGATCTCAGGTTGCGGTGCTGGACCGCAGCATGTCGAGCAGGAGGTTTGCCGTCGAGCAGCAAGTCGTGCTCTCTGGTCGGCGTGGCCCTTGTAATCCCATTTGGACTGGGCCTTTACAATGCTTTTGGGCCTGTCGGGCCCAGTCCAGAACAGGAGCCCCCTAAGTCGTGGTTCCTTTGTGAGGAGCCATGGCTTGAACTCAGGTCGCTTCCTCATCGAGGTCTCGTGCCCGGGACAGAGGTGTGGGCCCTCGAGGGCCTCCTCGTGTCGTGCTCGGAGACATCTTCCGCGGTGGACGCCTGGAGGATCCTCACCGGGCGCGTCTGTCGAGCATACGAGGTATCTTTCGGGAACTGTGCTGCCACCCTATGGGGATAGGGTCATCATTGCGTTGGGAGCGGCGCGTCAAGGAGAGAGACTCCGTGGTTGCCCGAGCTGACGTTTGGTATTCCACGTCATCACTATAAATAGGAACCTTGGGCCCCATAACACGTTTCTATTCTCTGTGCTCTCTCTGCTGTTGCTCTTCCAGATTTTTTCCAGTTGCGACTTTCTGTCACAGATTCTTCTACTCCGTAGCCAAATCCTACTTTTTGATTTAAGTAAGTGGTGTATCTTCTTCATTTTCCTGTTAAAATGTATGATTTTTGGCGTTTGTAGATGTTTTAGGGACTGTGCGCGTGGGATTAGCCCGGTAAACTCATACTCAGCCCGACATATTCATGCCTAGGACCGGCAAATGCATGTTTGTGGTCGGCATATTCATAATTTTAGGTGATAAACTTCAGCGCTGCCCGGGGTCTTCATGATCCAGGGCGCCTGATTCATGATCGCGCCCGGTATGTTCATGGTCTTGGCCGTGGGCCTCATGGTGTGGCTCGCCATGTTCATACCTTGGGTCGACATGTTGGAGAGTGGCCGCGTAGTTGGTTTGAGGAAGAACACATCGAGTTTTAGGATGTCGGAGAGGCAACCATTCGTGGAAACGGACTATGTGGTCGTGAATGGGACGACGTGATTTGTCGAGCATATGTCTTCGTGCCCAATTGACTGGTTTCCCGTGCTCTGCAGGTAACCATGGCGGACGAGCCGAGCTCCTCCGGGCGCCACAATCGTGAAGAACAAAGCGCTGACGAGTCGGTCAACCTGATTGATACTGTGACCGACCCTTTGCTGGATTGGGTGGGCGTCGAGCCTCGAGGGATCGCGTCGATCTACAGCCGAGACGACCGAAATCCGTACGCTGTCATCGAGGCGGGCCAGGGCCATCCCGACTTCCAAAGGAACTTCGTAGTTATGTGCCCGTCATCCCGTTCAAGGATCTGCTCGGTTTATCCGGAATATAGCTTCGCGATGTACGAGATCGCGTTCAAAGACCTTGGGCTGCGGCTGCCCTTCACTGATTTCCAGGTCGGGGTCTTCACTCACCTGGAGTTGGCCCCGTCCCAGCTACATCCAAACTCGCTCGCCTTCATCCGGGCGTTTGAGCTGACGTGTCGCTATCTGAGGATCGGGGCGACCATACCGCTCTTCTTCCGGATTTTTCATCTGCAGCGCCAGTCCCGAGGAGGGAAACACAGCTGGATCTCCTTGAAGCAGTCGAGGAGACTCTTCAAAATGTATATGGACTCCGTAAGGGGTTTTAAAGACAAGTGGTACGTTGTGCGGCCAATTACCACCTCGGCTTTTGGATCCCTATACGAAGAGGAGGAGGCTCTTAGCGATGACGACGGGGAGGCGGTTTTGGGCGACGATGGGAGTCCTGTAATGGCACGTACGGCTAAGTTCCCTGTGCACTGGATGTTCAGGAACTACGAGCATGGGACTGGTTACTACCACACTGCTGCCGGGGACATGTGCTCGGAGGACGAAGAGGCGTATGCCACACTTTGTCGGTTTGTCGATAGCTTCCACCCTGCCCGGTGGGCTACGAGGGAAGGGGACGATATCCTGGACGCCGAGGGTTACCCAACGTTTGAGTCTCGGCCGATTGATACTAAGGCGCTCGTGGAGTGCGAGACATACAGGCAGGCTGCCCGTCTGCTAGGTTGTTTATTGCTTGATTTTCTTTGCTCGTTATTTATTTATGAGCTTGTTCGACACTGACCCATTTTTATTTCGTGCAGGTGCGATGGCTGGTCGGCATGAAAGGCTTTTAAAATTGTCTTGCGACCAGAAGCGAGGCAGGAGGGTCATGAAGGCCCCACAGGCGACGAGGATGGGCCCACCACACAGTCCAAGTGCTCCTCAGCCGGTAAGGGTGGACTCACCGTCAAGCTCGGGGGCCGCGTCGGATGGGACCCCAGAAGTTGAAGAGGTCGACCCTAGTGCCGTCCTGATGCAGAGGAAGAGGACCCGTGTGGAAAGTGGTCTGACTGTTGGCGAGGAAGCCAGTGCCGTTAAGTCTTTCGCGTTCCCCCCTTGCTTCAAAGAGGAGGGCTTCTTCGAGAGATTCCCTCTGACAGTGATTGCCGACGAGGCTGAAGCTATCAAAAGGATGAGCAAAGAGGATCGGAAGATGTATTTGGCCTCCAGCACAGACGGGCTGGTGAAGATGGCCGAGATGGCCTTGGTGCTATCCGAGGAAGGAGGGGATCCTGCCCGTATCAAAGAACTCGAGCAGGAGAAGGCGGCCCTTTCCTCGAGCTCGCGGAAGTTGAAGACCGCTTTGGAACGCTCCGAGGGGATGTTCCGCGAGCAGACGGCGATGCTGGATGCTGAGAGGGAGATGTTGACCCTGGAGAAGGAAAAGTCAGGGAAGTTAGCCGAGGAGGGGGAGCTTCTCCGGGCAGACAGGGATCGTCTGGGGGCCGAAGTCGGACGCTTGGCCCAGCAGATCGAGGAAATGAACGCTGCCATGCAACCTGCCGAGGACGAGCCGGAGGACATAGCAGCTTTGAAGAGTCGGCTGGAGCTGGTCGCCCATATCCGGCTCCTCGAGGCAGATTGCGTCGGTGCCCTGGAGGATGGGTTCAACTCCGCAATCGGTCAGCTCTCCCTGCTAAACCCAGGTCTGGTCACTGAGGGTATCGGCCACACACATCAGATCGTGAACGGCGTGATCGTGCCCCCGCCCGACTCTCCAAGCGTCGACAATGATGGTTCTGGGGAAACATGACTAGGATAGCGGGCCTGCGTGCCTTTGACATTTTGTATTCTTTGGGCCTGCGTGCCCGTCTGTTGTACGTTATGAACATCGCCGGCCTTCTTGGTCGGTTTATAATTGTTTTGTCGCCTTCGGGCATTTTTAT